GTGTTTTACAGCGCTTTGCCAACAGCGCCAACCCACTGAAGTCTAGATTTTGCGAGGGGTGGGGGGGGGGAAGCGAGAAAAGGGGCAAAGGGAGTGTAGTGGCGGTTCCCCTCTTTCGATGCTGGGGTGTGGCCATCGGCCTCGTTGTAGTTGCACTTCCCACCCAAACCCAACCCCAATGGTATTGTACACGAGCGAAATCGTAAATTTGATTGTCGCCTTCGTCTGTCTGATTTTTCGAGTGTCCTTGACGCATGAAAGGCCCTTTGACAATCGTGTTTGGCAATGTCTGATCGCATGTAAGATGCATTGTCAGCGTCGTCCGAAGTTGCAAGAGGTACGAAAGGTGACTTGGGCATCATTTTCGCATTATTTGCATAAAAGAGGTGTCATTTCGCCGCCGCCGCTGCCGTGCTCTTGGCGCTTGTTTGTGCATGACTTTCGCTCTCTCTGTTCCCCGTTCGTCTCTTTTCCGCTGAACGCCCCATGTTTGGTACACCTCTGACATGGACGGTTTCACGCTCCTGCTACTCCTGCCTGTGCCTGTGCACCGCTGGCGCGGCGGCGTTTCGATGTCGGTGGCGGCCGTGGATGGCGGTGGTGCTTGGCGCTTGGAAAAAACGCAACATTTGTTTTGCATTCACTTGGCGGCGGTTGTTTAGGGCGGGAAGTGGGAGGATGACACGAGCATCCATATCATCGTCGAAACCAATTTTCAGGTGAGAGAGCGTCGGCCGGGTCTGTCTCCCCCCTCTCTCCCCCGCCTTTTTCGAAAGGTGCGTTCGGCCTTTCTTCTATGGACGTGACGCGCTCTCTGGGTTTTGCTTTTTCTCGGCATGGGTGTTTCTTTCGACGTGTGGGGGAGAAACGCGCGTTGCCAACCACGACAACAATGAGGACGAAGAATCTCTTGATTGAGACGATACTGCTGTAGTCCCCTCTCTACTGGTTGTCAATGAGTAGCGTACAAACTCGCAGCTCCTCTCCGTCCAATATCGCCCCCTCTTAGAAAAAACATGTTCTGCAGTGCTTGCTGTGTTGTTAACTTCTCTCTTGGCACTGCAGGGACCAAGCAAGGCCCGAGCGATCAACCCCTCCCCCCCCCCCCCCCCTCCCACCCCCCGGTGTTTGCCATCGAGGTTGAGTTTTCGTCGCATGGCAACGACGTTGTAAAACAAGCCCCCCTCTCGGTGTTTGCCATCAGGATTGGGTTTTCGTCGCTTGGCAACGACGTTGTAGAACAAGCCAATTCACGTAGTGAACTCGGCAGCCAGGTTACCGGTTTTTTTTCACCTTTGTTTTTTTTTGGCGGTAACCATAATGGTGGCCGAGTAGATCATGTTGAGCGGGGTGGAGAACCCTCACTCCGCGCAAGGGGGATGTTCGAACCACGTTGTGTTAAAATGGTCGCGCATCCTCGAGGCAGTTACACAGTGCTTGCAACTGTCTCTGGAAGTGAAAGCACCAGAAAATCTATTAAGCCATACGCAGCTGTCATCCGTACGCAAGGAAGTGAGCACAAGATGCCGAA